GCGGGGGCGCGCACGGCGTTGCCAAGCGGCGAGTTCCGGCCGCCGTAGGTAATGGCGGGGCCGGGCCGGGCGGGACGGGGCGAGCGCGCCGGGCCGGGAGAGCGGGAGGGAGAGAGCGACGCAACAGCTCTTCCCGGGCCGGCGGCGGGCGGAAGGGACCCGGCGCCGGGAGGCTGTGGCCCGGAGCCGGCGGAGGCCGGCGTTAGCTCCGCCGCCGGGGCGGGGCGGGGCGGGCGCAGCGCCGCGGGTGGCGGCACCAGCTGGGGAGGGAGCGGGGCTTGGCCAGGGTCAGCCGGAACGGGAGTGGGTGCACGGAAAGTTCCCCCTGAACGCGGGGAAGAGCTTCTTTACTTTGTGGGTGACCGAGCACTGGAGCGGGCTGTCCGGAGAGGGTGTGGGGTCCCCATCGCTGGGGATGCTCAGGAACTGCCTGGACACAATCCTGTGCCGTGTGCCTCGGGATGACCCTGCCTGGGCAGGGAGGTGGGGCCGGATGAGCCGCTGTGGTCCTTCCCAGCCTTACCCAGTCTGGGGTTCCGAGCCTTCTTCCGTGCCAGGGCTTAGGTAACCTCGTTGTTTACCCGGGGCTCCGCAGATCCACGTTGCTGATGGCATTCCATGGATGTGTTCGGGCACGGCTGCAGGAGGCGGCGGTCGGGGGTCCCCTGCTTTGCCCTCTCGCACCCAGACACAAAGTCCTGCCAGCCGCCCCAAAGTGAAAACCACGCAAGCAGCCTGCCCACGGCCACGCCGAGAGGGTTACACGGGAGGGGGCCTGTCACGCTTCCATCACAATATTCACCTTTTCCTTTTTAAATCTTCTCGTAATCCTCATTATGGTGTGGCCGGTGATGGAAGGACAGAGTGTGTGGCATCCCGACTGTCCGGTGCCCAAAGCAGTGCCCGGGACTTCAAGGTTACTGTGAAGCCTGTGTAACATTAGCCCCAGGTCACAGTGGTAGCCGGCTGAATCCGAGAGGACTCGGCTATTAGGTTGTTTGCTTCTTTCAAAGGTTTTGTTTTGGGAGGGAAACAGTCGAGTGAATTTTGTTTTTCTTAATTCCCCTGAGTTTGTTTGTGTTCAGTTTCCAGTACTGTGGGAAACTTACGCTGAAGAAAAACAATGTATATGACAACTGATACAACTGGTACAAATTGTAAATTTGTAAAGCCCTTTGTTACAAAATAAATCAGTGATTTTACTTGATAGCAACCCTTTTAAGTATTGTGTATCTGGCTTGCTAAATAGAAGGTAGTGTGATTTTAAAAAATTATGCAATAAAATATGGAAAAAACCAAGATTTAAATCTTGTTTTGACAATATCTGCAAATTTCATTAACAGAAAGACAAGGAATCTCATTTTAAAGTTAATTTTGGAAGGTGCATCTGGTCAGCTGTGATCACCAGGTGTATCAGGTCTCTCAATTTCACCCTCATAACGTTTACAGTCCCCTTAAAACATGTCATTATCAGAATCAATGCTGTGATCTTCATGTATAACTTCAGGGTGGCTAGAAGGATAGCTTATTTTTCAGCATGTTCTCATGGTTTAAGAAGTTCTTAACTTCATCAGTCAAGCTGCTCCCTGCTTGAAATTACTCTTCCCTACAGCAGGGCTGGCAGACTGAGGTATGTGCCCTGTTGTAACCACTCTTGTACAAAGTATTTTAGCTTAAACTAGTTTTTATTAGCAGTTCAATGTAAGCCATTGGACTTTGCATTGAAATATGTCAAGAATGGGCTTGTGTTTTTCTCAGTCCCTCTGGGAAAGAATAAAGGTGAGTAGGCAGAAATTTTTAGTAGAAAAGTAGCAAACTGGAGGTAGTATCTTAAATTGCTGTGGGTGTTTGCTAAACAAACTTAAGTTGTTTCATTGTCAATTAAACAAATCATATATGAGAACACATTATGTGTCAGGGCATGGGTACATAGTCTTTAGCTTCTTCCATAAAATGCCATAAAATGTAGGAGCCAGTGTATTAAAGATAATTACTGTTTTTAGGAAGTCTTACTTTATTAGTCTTTCAGTTTGCCTTAAAGTGCCTGGCCTTTGCTTTATTAAGATACATTCTGAATATCTAGGACAAACACTCTTGAGCATTGCTTCCTGCTACTCCAGTGTGAATGGCTTTCATGAGAACAGAATGTGAAATTTAATGTTGCTCCCAGTTACAGAGATTTAGTAGAGTCTGCAGAATATCCATTAGTTACTAATTAATGCTTGTAAACTGAGTGTGAGAAACAACAGAAAATTGCAATTATTGCCATGAGTTGTTCACACTCTTGTTATAGAACACTTACTAATACAGCAGTCCATATGCAGCTTTTTAAAGAAAGTGAATGCAGTGTGTATTAGTGTTTTTCAATAGGTTATTTTTAAAAATATTTTTTAATGCTGAGGGTTTATGTATGAGCTCTTCTGTCCCACTTATCAGTGGCAAGTTTGTGTTATCTTCAGTCATTTACAGCTTTGTTTTCCAAAACTGCCAAGTTCAGTTAATTTTCATATGGAGCTCTGTGTCTTATAATGTGATCAAATACACCAAGCTTTTAATAGGTTGGTTACCCTTCTTTTCTCCCACTTCTCCTACCACAGTCTGTTGTTGTCCATGTTCTGTAGTCTTTTTGTGGTGCAATGACTTAAAATGTGTGTATGCTTAGTTTCTACATTTCACCTAGAAAGCAACAGGTTACTTAAGTGTGCTAAATTAATGGCCTAATTGATTTAGCATAAGGCCATGCACTTCTGAACAAGTTGTGCTTAAAATGTGTGTACATCATCTTCCTGATCTGTTACTGAGGGAAGATTAAAATGCCTTTCAAAGAGTGTGGCGATACCGCTGAGAGAGAAGCAGTGTTAGCTTTTACAAGGCATCATGAAGTCCTATACATTTCTACCTAATGAAGTAGTATAAAAGTAATACTGATTATTAGTGAGCACACTAGTGCTCTTGGAAATTGCAGGTGAGAATACCGAGAGGCATCAACCCCCTGGGCCCACTGCAGTTAATGTAAGTTCCTCTGATTTCAGGGGAAGCAGAACAAGTGTGACCTGTCAATTACAGACTGATTGGGAATGTCCATGAGAAGGACTAGGCTGGGAAGTATGAAAGTGGCCCTCAATTTTATGTCACTTTCTCAGAGGGATAAGGCCTTAATTTAAGGCACCTAGGACATAATTCTGGATTTATGTTGATACTGAATAAACAAGCTTCATTGAATGTTGCAGAGGTGGGAGGAAAAAAACCCCATCTATGCTTATTTTTTCTCTATAAACCTGTGCACAGTTCTGTTACTCTACACTCCTGATCTTTTGTGTGCTTAGCTTTTTTTCTGTTGATTTTTGCAAAGTACATGTGATTTTACATCAAATAAGTAGGTAATAAAAAAAAATTATTTTTTCTCTTTGCAGCTCAAGAGAAAAGGAAGAACATAATAAGATGTCACCTGAAGTGGCCTTGAACAGAATTTCTCCAGCGCTTTCCCCCTTCATTTCCAGTGTGGTCAGAAATGGAAAAGTGGGACTAGATGCTACTAATTGTTTACGGATTACAGACTTGAAGTCTGGGTGAGTTCCTCATCCAAAAAGAACACCCAACCCCTCACAGTTGTCTTTTCAGAGCTGAGTTTTATTAGGTGCATTTGTTTAAGCATTTTAAACACAGCTGGGCTTGACATACTAGTTGACATACTAGCTGACATACTAGCTACATTATTTTTTGTCTTGCTACCATTTTGCAGTTTGGGAGACTAAATTTGTCATATTTTTGGCAATAATTATCTTGTTAAGACACTCGCATCGCTGCCACTTGATAGTGCTGGTTTTCAGCAGTGAGATAGCTGCAAACACCTTTTTCTGCTGTTTATCGCTTGCTTACTTGATTTTCTCTGTAAACCATAAACTGAAAGACAAATTCGTGTGACCTTACCTGTAATCATGAATAAGCCAAATCAGAACAAAAAGTAACTTTTCCTTTATCTGGCCTCCCTCCGATTTTCTCAACAGTGTAAACATGTTGAGACATGTAAACCATAAACTGAAAGACAAATTCATGTGACCTTACCTGTAATCATGAATAAGCCAAATCAGAACAAAAAGTAACTTTTCCTTTATCTGGCCTCCCTCAAGCTCAGTACATCAAGTGGCTATAGGGCCAAGTGTTTGAAGTGAGCTAAGCTGCTCCTTTTATTTTTAATTCTGGAAGCATTCAGATTAGTTTTCAGGTAGTAATAGAATTTTGGGATTTGCATATACAAACAGACTTTGGTGTATAACCTCTGTGAATAATACATGAGGAAAGTGAAACGTTTAGATGACGCATGTCAGAAATTGCTTTATTCTTATAGAGTTGGGCATCTAACGGCATCTTTTTGATTCAGGCTTTTTTTTTTTGTTACAGGAGATCAGAGAGTGACATTACTTTTGCTTTAGATATACAAATCATCTTGTTTGTACAAACTACTGCTTTGTGTATAGTTTTGAATGATAGCATAATAAAAATAACAAAAGGAGTTCGGAACCACCACAAATCACTGTTGTTTAAAATGCAGTTCTGCTGAAAACTTTGTTTAATGTGCTTATGAAGGCTGTTTTATTATGGTTTCATGAAAAGCTTTGGAGGTGCTTTTCTGTTTGTAACAATGCCTTTTCAGGAAGGAGGTTTGCATTCTGGGGTAAGTTTGAAAGGAACCATTCCCTCCCTGTGAGGTGCTGGGACAGAGTACAGATTTACATGGAGGTCTAAGAAGCCATGACTTTGTTATTAGTGTTGACTGGCTTGACATTTAGGCTTGCAAATTACATAAGACAGGCTGAGCAGTTCTGCATCTGCTGCTGTCATTTCATGCTAGATCTTGCTTTCCCTTGAATTAGTCTTCTAGGAAAGCTGTGATGGGAGCTCTTACATTTTTCCAGTTGAGGTCTAAGAGAGGATTACAAAGAAAACTAGAGAGAAAACACAACTGTTGGGAGGTAGTTAAGGGGTTTGCTCTCTACCTGCTGAATGCTTATGCTGCCTGTCTTTAAAGTAAGAGATTAAAATAATAAAAAGTGGCATTTTCTAGCTGACTCTTTTCACAGGTATTTTTAATAGGTATCTAAGGTTTTTGGCCACTGATCTTGCCAAGAAGATCTTGTATTTGCTTTGTTAAAACCTGAAAGTTTTCCAGGAGTTTATTCTTTAAAAAACTAAAAGCTGGCAGCAGCTGCACCTGTCACTCAAACCCTGTGATTCAAATTGTATAGTAACTCTGTTAACGTGGAGTTTACACACAAGTACAGCACCTGACAGAGGTTGTCTTATAGCTTGTTAAAAGACCCTGGCCCTAAATGCACGTGTTAGAAATACTTTTTTCCTTGTTCTGGGACATAAGCATTAGCTTCATTCTTTGTTGAGTCTTTGTTTTAGCTTGAGGTTGTTAGGAGATGGAGTCAGGATAATCAAGATTCTTCATTTATTTCAGAATTATTTGAAGGTTTTCTTTCTTTGGTACAACTAGTTTATTAGAACCATTGCTGTAAACAGAATTAATTAACAATTGCTTGAAATTTCTTTGAAATGTAAATTTCATGCATGTGTTTTTAGGAAAGATTTTTGTTTGTTACAAATAAATTGTTGGTTATTTATAACAGAAAATTTTGAATTCATGTGTCAATATGGAAGTATAAAATTCTCATGACTTAGTGCTTTATGCTGTCTCTGAACTGGTGAATAGTGCAGAATTACTTGCCATACTATGGACGAATCACAGTATTACAGGGATGTCCCTTCCATAACTCAGGATCTAGTTCAGTGGTCTTCAACCTTGACACAGGAGTTCTTTGACACTCCACAGAATGTTTCTCAGAGTCTCATGTCAGCTGATAAATAGCAAAATCCCGAACCTACAGCCTCGTTAACACATTTAAATTTGTTGCTGCATACTCACTGTTGAGGAAAACTTTGTAGAGCTTTGAGAGTTCAAAAATGAATTGAAAGCCATTGCCCTACTCTCCTCCCCTGTCCTCACATCACAAGATGATCCAAACCCCTGTATACTTTCACTTTCATTACATTTTTTATAAGGAAACAAAATAATGCAGACAAAATAATCAGAAGAGGCAAATGTAGGTTATATCAACATGAAGAAAGAGAACCGTGAGGTCATTGAAGTTGGACATAAATGGTGAGAAAATGGGAACTATTTTTAGAGGAATGGGGATGAAGTTGAGGATATCAATTGCAAAACTCCCATTTCAATGGGTTGAAATCAGCCTTTAAACTTAGAAAGTGGAACCAGGCAGGTTTAGATTAAACATGTTAGATTAAATGTTTGAAGTTAGATAAAGAGC